TGAATTCAAAAAGGTTTAACCTTTTTATTGTTATAAAATAATTAAATTATATAAAGATTAAATCTTTATTTGGTGTTCATTTTCTTATTATTTTTTTAATTTTTTTAACAATCTTAAAGGTTTTATAACAAATGGACACCGGAAATTATCATCGTCTTCTCAATCAAGACATGATAAAATTGGACAAGTTTGACGGGTCGAGTTACACTCGTTGGGCCGAAAAAGTGAAATTTTTGCTCATGGTTTTAAAACTCTATTATGTCTTGGACCCAAGTCTCCCTCCCATTCCAGAAGATCCGGTCAACAACCGGATCTTCAAAGAATTGCCGATCTCCAAAAGCTTAGAATGATCCATAAGGAAGAGGAAACTCTTGCTTGTGGACACATTAAGAATGCTTTGTCAGATCGTTTGTATGATTTGTATGCCCCGATTACGTGCCCTAGAGAGTTATGGAATGCCTTGGAATTCAAATACAAGTCACAAGAAGATGGCACAAACAAATATCTTGTGTCTCAGTATTTGAGATTCCAAATGGTTGACGATAAACCTATTCTGGAGCAAGTGCATGAGCTCCAAGTTTTAGTAAATAAATTGAAAATGCTTTCTATAACTATCCCTGAAATTTTCCAAGTACGGGCAGTGATTGATAAACTGCGTCCATCTTGGAAAGATTTTTCAAAGAGAATGATGCACAAAACCGAAGATTATTCTTTGGACGATTTACTAAAACATCTGCGCATTGAGGAAGAGGCACGTAATCGGGAGAGGAGAGGCAAGTCTGTGATGAATGCCAACAGCGTGCAGACTGGAGGCAAAAGGAAAGGGAAGGGCCGGAGGGCCAAACAAGAAGTGGAACTTGGGTCCACAAAAGAAGAGTGTTAAGAGACAGGCAGTCAATCAAACATGGGACAGAAGTTCAAGAGGGTTGGAAAATGTCACGTCTGCGGAGAGACGGGACATTATGCTCGTGAATGCAAGGACCGAAAGTCCGGACCCCCTGTTGCTAATTCTGTTGAGGGAATTCAACACCTTGTGGCGAATCTCCACATGGAAGAGATTGACATGATTT